AGACTTAAATCCCATCCCCGCACCTAACACGTATCCCGAGGCACCCTATCCATCACCAAACCCTGTGCGACTCACTAATACTCACACTAAGGCTCAACAACCCTTAACAACAAAGGGTCAGCCTCCACAACCCCTAACTCAAAGTGAACCGGTTCCCGAAACCCGAAACTGGCCCTACTCGATCCCAAACTACCTCGAACTCAACTCGATTGGTCACAAAACCCTCAAAAATGGATTTAGAAGACCCAAAAACCTTTAAGATTAGGCCAAAACGGCCAAAAACCCTAATTCGGAACATCGACACACAAATCGAGGCCGATTCACCTAGAACCAGACCTCTAAACATCACCAAATTTCATGGTCAACTAGGTTTCATCATGTTGAACCAAGAATCAGTCCAATTTCCCCAAGAACCAGCCTAAAAACCCGTGAATCGGTCGCCCGAAAGGAACCACACTAAACCGGCCGATTCACCTCGAACTGGTCATCCAAAATTTTCCAAACCCACTTGGTTTGATAGGTATTTTCTTCTTGAATCCAGAACCGGTCCAACTTTCCAAATCCGAGTCTATTTGACCACTGAACTGGCCGGTCAAACCTTGAACCGGTTCTGGTCGGTTCAGTCAACTCCAAAACCCTAATCCTCCAATCTGGATTATGCTATCCCCTGCTATCCCCAATCTGGCCTTATCCTTGATTTCCTATCCTCCCGAGATAACTTATCCCCAATTTCTATCCTGGGTCAACTCGGTTGAGTTGACCCATAACTTTCACTCACTGGCCGAGTCGACCCAGCGGGTTAACTCGGCCTGGCCCTCACCTGGGGCAGCCCAACTTGCTCGGGCCTCTCCCGGCCCGAGCCCAACCAGGACTGGGCCCAACTCGGCCCAGTCCAACCCGCACCCAGCCCGGGCGAGTCAGCTCGGTGAACCGAGCCGACCCGCCCGATTCGACTCAAACGGACCCGGATGCCATCCGGGTCCGTCTTCTTCGGAAACAACATCTAGGTCTGTAACAAACCTGGATGCCCAAAACTTGAAGAAAAACCAGATTCAAGGCTTACTGGTTGAATTGGAAGCCCGAATGGCCAAACCGAACCCCACGAGCCTCGTAGAACCCTTTAATCGGAGAAATTCGAGCTTGAAATTCCAATTTTTCAGAAATCCACCCGTCGGCACCTCAGTTCTTCGCCGTTCAAATTCTTCTCCAATTCTCTTTCTAAAACTCACTTTCTCTTTCCTCTGGCTCGCCTCTCAACCGCGATTAAAGTCCTAAAAGCCAGAAAAGCTGGCTTGCTCCTATTGGAGCAAATTTTGTTCTGGGTTATTCGGTCGATTCTCAGCCACAAAAATTCCCCCCTTTTTTTTCACTTAACTCCCTCTAATTCCGAAATAACCCCCGAAACTTTTAATTGTCACAAATTAGTCCAAAATTAATTAAATAAAATCTAAAAATTGGGCTATTACAAGGAGAATGTTAGAATTTTCTAATATTTGAGTTACTATTAATTATTTTTAGTAATTTATAAAATAAAAAAAGGTTGAATGGATGGTCTGATATCCCTGAAATTCATTTTAAATTAAGTAATTCAATGAGTTGGGAGTCACATTGGTTTAGGGCTTGGATCCGGTTAATAAAGTGTATTGGACCTTAAATGACCTGCGGTTTTGTGATGAATAAAACATAGGTCACTCTTTTATAAATATAACATGATCGCCACTTTACTCTATATTAACTTCTAACTGTTTGCTATTCTGTGGAGATACTAATTGTGAGAAATAAAATTGGTATGAAAAATTATACTTGTACAATATTAAATTGCACATTTATTAGTTTTATTTGGTTAATTAATTACGAATAATTTTGAAGAGTATTTTTACTCATTTTACATGTTATTAGGTATTCTTAGTGATAAATTTTACAGTCCACGTTAAGGGAGCATAATGCTCAGCACTTAAAGCAAAGCTAGTTAAATAAGTAATCTCATCCTACACGTCTTTCACACGATCACAGATATAAAAATAATGGGAAAATTTGAATTCCAATTCACAGTCCATCAAGACTTGAACCAGAAATTTTTTTTTTTTTTTTCAATTATAAGATCAAACAATTGTTAGGTTCCTCATTGTTCACAGCTAAATACTGGTCATCATTTAATTGCATATACAGCTAACTTGTCAAAATGCCAAATTAAACTTCATAGAATCCGAAACATCCCTTAAATTAGAAGACTCAATTGAAACAAGTCATATAAAGTTGGTCACCAAAACCACTAATGGGTTCTCAAACAGTCAAAAGAAACCTTTCCTTTACTGGTTATGGCAAGGAGAGAAAGGGCAATTCTAGCTTGCTGATTAGATGACTAACGTAGTCCTTTCTCATTTCTTCTTTCTTTTGTTTTCCCCTTTTCTAAAAGGAACAGTCTCCTTTGCAATCCATTAGTTATGTAACTTGAGTTGGGGTTATTGACTTTGATATGGTATGATCTGTACAAACTACTCTATTTCCATCCCATTTACGACTCTTATGGCCATTAATGTTCCAAAATTGGATCTGATGATTCAATTTGCTATATTTAAGCTGGATTTTGATAATCCATTTGAGAACTTGACAATGCACTTTCTTGAATATTTTGAAGGGAACAAAACTGATGGATAGTTTGAATTTCCATCCATCACATTATTTTCCTACCAAAAAGCACCCAACCGCCACAGTGCTGTCATTGACCACACCCTCTTATAAAAAAAAATAGAAAAAAAAAATCTTTCTACCTTGGATTCATCTAACGCTTTATTAGAAAGATTTAGTTCAAACCTGAAGCTCATACCTTTGTTGATGCTTCTATTTATCACCATTTTTAGCATTCAACATGGATGTTCATTTTCCTTTTAACCTCCCTGAGTCACCGGCATTACAGCAAGCCATCATCTGAATTTATGAATCGGAAGATATCTTCCTTTCTTTTTCTAGATTTATCCATCTCATTCTTTAGTGCTTGGCTATGTATATATGTACTCAAACTAAACCAGATTGAAGGGAAGAAAACATAGATACGAAATAAACAAACACGAGGATTCGAGAAATCTCCTATGGGTGGTAATAGTAGCAATAAAACGTAAGGGATAACACAAATATACAAGTCTCAACCGTGTACATTCAAACGAAGTGATAATAGGCCGAGTTCTATTATACAACTCAAATACCCTCGAATGCCAAATAAATAACACGCTCTAGAATGAAAGCCCAGACTTGACGTAGTGCATAAATAATCAGAGGGAGAGCAGCTTCAAGCTTCAAGAAGGGGTTGAGTGAGATGGCATGAGCAGCTTAGGCAATCCAGGAAATTTAGGCACTTCCACTTCAGGAAAAGTTGGCAACCTGGTTTTGGAAACTCCGAAATTTGGGGAAGTCCTGGCTGCAGCAGCTCAGGCATCGGCAGAGTCAGGAGATGATCTGGCAGTAATGGGAATTCAGGCTTGAGCAGGGTTATCTCCAGAAAGTGCCGAGTCTCAGCGGGCACTGTTTGCCCACTCATTAATGCCAAGGCAATGAGCAGCAGGGGCAGGAGGAAAGATGGGACTTGGTATAAGCTATTTTTACCAATTTGGTGGTGCTGGGTTCTCATGTATGCGTAGTGGGGAGAGGGGGAAGTTTAGAGGCTGGATGGTTGAGAAGATATGTGTGACTTGTTAGCTTAATCTCCCATCAGTCTGAAGACTAGTTCATGGTTTCCTGATTTCAATAGAAAATACTAGTTTGACCACTGATGCACCCAGTCCTGTAGTCTTTCTTGAAACGCCGCCTTTCTCTATATGGCGTAATCAGATTATTGGTTTCCGCCCTCCTCCCCCTTAATGGATATATACAGTTCATAATATACTTTGTTGAAACTTTGGCTTTATCTCACCAATTTTTCATGAATTATACTTGTTTTATTTAGCTTCTTTTCAAATCTTCAATCATCAATAAGTGCATATAAAAGCTTGATGAAGGGTTTTTTTTTTTTTTTTTTTGGTCCGGGACCTCCCAACACCAGAGGAATGTCCAAACACCAGGCTTAGAATGAAACCGTTATTAGTTTATGCTAACTTAAAGCTCAAGCTCTCTCTGCTCAATATTTGCTAGACGACAAGTAGTTTAATTTCTACAGCCTCCTTTTGCCTATTCCTAAATCTAAACCAAACGTTAAATTTCTAGAAGGACAACATACTTATACAAGAAAAGACGAAAAATATTTTGCAGAACATATTTTCCAAAATCATGAGATATAGCCTACTTGCACCTTAATCCGTCATTATGGTTGCGGTTCAAGAAGTCAAGTAAATCCATGCTTTTAAAGATGGTGATGATGATGATGACAACAATCTAAAGAAAAAGAGATCATGCATCAACTGTGGGAGGTGAGCTTTCACATTCAGAAACAACCATTGGGATTTCGTGGGACTCATAATGGATAGCTGTGGACATGAGCCTACGAGCTGAAAAACTTATAAGCAAAAATCTTGCAGTTTCCAGATTTTTAAGTATCTCATCACCGCCTCCACCAACAAAAAACAAAACAAAAAAACAAAAACAAAAACAAAATCCTAGTTTTTTGTTCATTCTTTTGTTTTCTTAAAAACCAGACACCAAAAGAAACTCATTTAACAATGCCAAAACAGCAAAGAAGGGCCACAAAAATAGTTCAAAACATACATTTCAAAGTTGTCATTTTACTCCCATGGAAAACTGACAAGTTTGCTAAATTGAACTAGCCCTCACAAGGATGCATTGAATAAAAATGAGAGATCAAGCCGTTTATGATGCAAAAACCACCAAAAGATAGAATCTCCACCAAGCAAAGATGTTCAACTATTTTTCTTTCCTCAAATTCAAATAAAGATAAAAGTCTCCTCGAACATGGGGCATAATAATACAAGCTCGGCAAACCAAGTATAAACTAAACAAATGCTTATTAGATACAAAGTCAGAAGAACAACTGCAACGGCATATGAGAATGATCAAGACCAAAATTCCCTGTTTTTGATACAGCACATACCGGTTTCTCTTCTTATACTACTTTCCTGATAATCAAGTGTCCACTTCTCAAAAGTACAGTTGATGAAGTCGTAGTAGCCCCCATGAATTGTAAGCAATCCTTTTGTCAACCTTTCTTCTATCCATGGGTAAGTGAGCAAGTTCAACAACGACCGGTTAATAGATTCCTGAGGAGAACAACACAAAATAGCTTGAAAATTCAGGAAGTGTCAAATATTCTTAACCTATTACAGTATCCTATGCTTCTCCATTCCTTTATCTGAATGAGGAACGACCTTCCATGACCTACTTAAACCTTCAGATTCAGAAGCTATTAAAGGGGATTGTAGGACTGAACTCAATAAAACAGGTTGCAGATTATATCTGACCAAATAAAAATGGAAGAACTTAAGTGCATAATAGTATAAAGTTTAATGACCCCTGCAGACAGAAACTAAATATTAAATGCACAACTCAGAAATTTCCACTTAGACGTCTATAGTGTTTATAGAACATCTTACATGTTGAAAACCAGTCATCTACAAAAAATCAAATAAAATAATGGAACATAAAGGGTTATGCTAGCCAGCACCCACCACAATAGTGAAATGCTGAAAGAATAATCCTAGCTTGCATTGATTGGTGATTGCAGATAGGAGTGGCCCTCAATTTACAGGCACAATTTCACCTATTCCTCTGAGATTAGGTGAAAATACATAGACCCAACGGTTTGAAAATTAGACAGAGCTTCCCTTAGGATCAAGAGACACAAGGTGCCATTGCCATGAGGGCACAAGTTCAATATTGAATAAATACTTGAAAATATAGATTTTTTTTACTCATATCAGTTTCATAAATAATATGTCGTCATATCTGTCTAAGGATTCCTGATTTCCAGTTATTTGGCACGCTAGTGACTGGAAATCAAGTTCCATCAACTGCAACTTTGAAATATTTCTTTGCTGCTTTAACGCACAAACTATAGATGAAAAAAAAAAGTTTTAGCTTACATGTTACGATTCAACTACAAGAATAAATAAATCACCTTCTCACAGTGTCTGCACTGCTGATCAAAATTTACATTGGAAGCAGCAGCCTTCGTTCTTACCCTTGCATTCTTGCCCACAATTACCCAACTTTGAATGAAGCTACTGCAGAAAATAAATGAGCAAAATTGAGAATACTTATCTTTACACAAAATGGATATGTGCTCAATTGAATGCACCCTTGCATTCGGGAATCCGCATCTGTGTGTGTATGAATATGAGAGACAGAGAATGAGATCAAATAACTTCATGCTTATCATACCTTGAATCCCCTTTGTCTTGCATACTCATAAGGGCACGAATACCTCCACAGCAACTGTGGCCAACGACAAGTATATTTTCAACCTGCAGGAATATTTTGAATTTTGTGGTATTGAACTTATCTTGAAATATCTGAATCGTACCAGGATGCCGATGATTCTATACACCAACATTTGGCACTTAAAGCAATTCAAGTAAGACGATAAAATAAACTTTGTAATCACAAGGCATCAGTAGCAGATTATTCATGCATCTACAAATATTATACGAATATATCCTTCAGAATTCATTGCTAGAAATGATTCACTTTCAGCTTGCTTAAAATGTCCCTTTATCCTAAAACTTATTCTCAACTATTTTAGTTGTTACACTCAAACAAGAGCTTTAATTAGAACATATTATGAGAGGCATGCTCCAAAGTTTTGCCAGTAGCATCCCAGTAAATTAGTAGGTCAAAAATAAATTCAGATTTCCAACTTGTTTATAAAATTACAATATCATAGTTCCACAATATTATGTATGCATGTATGTGTGTGAGAGAGAGAGAGAGCAATATTTAACCAGTGGATTTTATGTTTTCTGCCTACTTCACAAAATGTAGAACTGCTATTGTCAGCAGAAGTTACTTACTTCCAAAGAATTAACTGCAAACTCAAGGGCAGCATTTGTTTCAGAAGGCCCATTCTGAAAGAGAAATTAGTAATGAATGAACAAATGCCAACAACAGTATACTAGGTATGGTGTCAATCTTTCCATGAATGAAGAACTTGTAGTTCTGGTAATGGAAAGATCAGATAAAGCCATTAAAGTGCGTAGATTACCTCAAAAGAGGGCACCAGATTTGCCACATTGCGCAATATGAAGGCTTCTCCTGGTTGGAACCCCAGGATGATGGAGGGACAAACCCTAGAATCTGCACAAGCAATCACCATGAACTGTTCTAACAATTGTCAGTTTCTTAATGCCAACCCCTTCACCTTAAGTTGAGGCAATTTCCAATGTAATTCAACATTATGCAGAGATATAATTTGCTGATTGAGAAAAGATCATTAACCCAACAGGAAAACTTATCATTACCTTGGGTGCTTGACCCTTGGCAAGGTTCTGATAGCGTTCTAAGTTTTCCCTGTCCAAGTAACATCCAATGTCAGCAAAATCAAGTTTCCTTCAAAATCTAAATGACACAATTTTGCTATGATGCAGTCCTTACAAGAAATTATGCTTTTTGAAACTTAGAAAGCGATCCTTCATCTCCTTGAAAGGATCTGACCCATTTTGAGTTCCTTCTTCCACCTTCTGTTTTCTATCCACTAGTTCCTTGGTCAGCCGGGGAGAGTCCATAGCAGCCTTTAGCCTCAATGGAGGACTGCCCCTGTGAAGATGATAGATAACAACACCAGTATATTAGTATCAGAATACACAACGCAGATTATCTAAATCAAATAAAAGACGTCCTTATCTCTCGGGTTCAATCCGAAGATAGCATGGTAGGCTGTAATCTTAAAAAGAATGACACGCCTATAAATACATCGTCAGATAATAATATTAGAAGCCTCCATTGAAACAGTTAAACACATCTGAGCAGATCCACTACAGTAAGCATCTCTCCTAGAATAAGAATCACCAACTTTATGCTTTACTCACAAAGAGATGCTCAAACAGCACATTGCCGACATCCAGTTAAACCTCTATTTTCCTCTGAATTTGAGATAAGCAATTTAGTTCTAGCATGGTTCCAGATTCAGATTTCAGATATGGATAAGATCCAAATACAGAAAGTTTCATCATTTTGAAAATAACATCACTAGGTTGCAGAATATGTGAAATTTTGGCTTATCAATGATTTAGCATGACATCGGATGTTAATAAAAAAGGAGACAAAGCTAGTTGTTTGCCATATTGAGACAAAATTCTCATCATGGGAACAAAAGAATAACTTCAGCAGTGTCTTAATCATTAATAGTCATCATAAAAGAGACGCAAAGTCTTCAACTCAATTCAAGCCTTTGAGAAATTCATAGCCATCAGACAGTCCCGCAAAAAAATTCCGGCCTTAACACACATTATATATTCAAATAATGAAAGATGCCTGTAGCAATAAAAATTGGAATCAACAGCTTGGTCTTTCAAGAGTAATTATGAACGCAAAAGCATAAGAAAGGAACAGAGAAAGGAAGATTAAAGACAACTCACAAACTTACTTGGAATAAAAAGGCAATCTCATAAGGGTCTGCTCATCTCCCCCAAATTTCAGCTGGAAACCATGCAACAGAACAAAAGATCAATTAACAAAATATGAGAGAACTCACAATTGAGGTTCTAATTCTCAGATGGGTCTGCTTACTTTCCCCACATTTCAACTGGGAACACAGAAACAGAATAAAAAATCAACAATTAAACAGAAACGGCACAGACATGAGCATTTTTAAAGAGAACTTACAATCGAGCATGAAACTGAGGTTCTGGGGAGGCCCAACAAGGAAGATTTGTGGGAAATAGGGGAGGAGACGGGAGATCCGAGCATCGATTGAGCCATTGCGCAGATCCAAGTGGAAGCCAGAGGAGGGTTTGCTCAGGGGCGTGGAAAAGGAAGAAGAAGAGGTAAGGAGACACTTGGACATTACAGTGATCACAAGAACATAAAGATGCGTGTCAGAAGTGGTTGTGCGAGTGGTCGGTCGAATCGTAGAAGACTTGTTTCTCTCCAAGAAAGACGGAGAACCCAATGGCATCGTTCTTTCTCCTGATCTATCTTTGACTTTCGCTATTTTCCCTTCTTGAAATATAGATAATAAAAAGTTTGACTGCTTCCACGTACAGGATTCCCTATTTCACCAAAAGAGGAAAATTTATGACGGCTACACAAACGATAACTAATTGCGAGCGTTTTGTGCTGCGTTTAGGTCGCCGAGGGGCAAATTACCCTCCAACTACTTATTTACTTCTGGGGAAAAAATATTTTTTTCTAATTTTGCTTAAATAACGTTAAATTTTATTTTTATTTCAAAAACATATTTATTCTCTTTAACTAATTATTAAAATATAATTATCTAATAATTCTGTTAAAAAATATGAAAATAATCTAATTTCAATTAATGAGTTATTTCTTTAATTAGAAATCAAAATATTATATATTATTTAAAAACTATTTTTTTATTAAAAATGTAAAAAATTATAAAGTCTAATTTTTGGTTATCTAATTTTATTTTTTAAAATTTTAATTTTATGGTTTTTATTTTATTTCAAAATTTAAAATGAGTGTATTATTCATTTTAATTTTAGCAATTGTTAATTTTAACATGTTGCTTTATTCATTACAAAAAAAATTAATTTTTTAGTTTTTAGATTATTGGTGAACTTTTTCAACAATATGGCCATTTTTAAAAAATGCTGAAATATGGTCATTTTAAAAAATTAGAAGAAAGAGTTAATTAGACTAAGAAAACCAATTTTTCACTGATAGAGCCATTTTAAATTTAGAAATAAAACTAAAAAAATCATAATTCTAAGGCTTAACCCTGATAGTATGTCACGCCCCAACACGGCATGTAACCGGTCCTAAGGTTGACCTGTTAGCCCTAATGAGTCTCAAACACACGCAACTTGTATAAAAGAACCCATTTATTATTAATTTAATTTAGACAAAATAGTTTACTGTGAATCCATTAGAATTACAAGTCAAAACCATGTTTGAGTAATACATGGGGCTATTAAAGTACAAGTGAAAAATGTACACAAAATGTCCGTGTCTTGTAGTCGACACAGAAAAACAGCATCCACTCACTCTAAGTACCCTGGTGCCTAATTGGAGTTGTGATCTGGAAATGGGGTAAAATGGTGAGTATAAACTTAATGAATAATACTACTATTCTACTACATATGGACATGTAGAGTAACAAAACAAGCATAGATTATGTCTCAGATACCAAACCATAGTTTACCAGAACACAAACTCAAGAGCAAATATATGTAAGAGTAATTGAACATACCGCAGAACCCATCTAACAACAGTCATTGCATGTCGCAGATATCAAAATCACATTACAACATATCACAGATCATATCTCATATAGGAATCCTTTATCAGAGCTAGCATCCAAATCTCAGAAAGCACATCATGCCAAGACACCATCATGTTCATCAAAGTCTAAATCCAGACTACTCTAGACATGCAAGTTCAGAAAACCAGAGTCTCACAGAGGTTTAACAAAAATAATACATGTCTAAGTAAATTTGAGAAATCATAACTCAAAATTTGTCAAATAAGGGGGCAACATAATTTAAAACACACATAGAGAAAAGCAATAACACTCACCCCACACGCCAAATCGGAATCTTGAAGCACAGAGTGATGGCTCATAGGTCCAAGCGTGTCTTTGCAAGCATATCTATAATCATCACATAAGAAAATATTAGAATTAGAACTGGGGCCCATCCTACCAAAGACTCGATTATTAAAACAACTCCTAAACCACATCCTGAGACTGTGTCTCATCCCCCATAGTTCGGAACCACCCTTTACCTAACCCCATTCCAATCGAAACCCTTAAACTAGGGTAGACCGACCCTCCAATACCCATGAACTGTTATAAACCGGTCTTGAGCCACTTAAAAGTGCCTGAAACCAGCCGTAATGCCATAGAGCCAAGCTAAACCAACCATATACTCTACAAAATTAGCTAAATTGGCCACTTATTCTACAAAACGAGGATGAACCAGCTTGAAATCTCATGAACCTGAGCTAAACTGGCCAAAAAACTCTCCCATTCCGGACTAAACCAACCTTGACTGTCCTAGAACTGGAATTACCCTATCTCACTAATTGGTAAATTTGCATGAACTAGCCATCACAAGCACTGAACCGATCTCCAAACCTCTAAACCGGCCAGTTCAACCTTTATACCCCAAAAATTTCATGCCAACCCGACGTGATCCCAAAGCCCTAATCAACTCAAACTAAGCCTACCTAACTCTTGATGCTAGAATTGGACTAACCCCTTGTTAGAAACAGAACATCCCCTCGAACCAGCCGATTTATGCTTAATCGAGTTGGATCGACCTATTAACCTAGGATAGACTTGGAACGTGTCTAGGTCTATCTCTTTCACCCGGAAACCCAGGTCTTTAACCTAGGTTCTGTGACACAACCTGATGCACGCCTAAGCCAAAATTACCCCATTTCAGGGCTTACCTAATTCGATTAAAGGCTGTAGGTTGCAAAACTGATCTCAACGAGCCGATTCCCAGGTTGAATCTAAGGAAAAATGGCTTGAATTTGGAAAATTTTTTAGACCACCCCGCTCGGTTCTTGCGAACCTTCCGAAGAAACCAGGGGCTATTTCCCTCAATTCTTCACACCTCACACCAAATTGATCGAGGCTTCTGGTCTTATAGATGTTGAGGACAAGAATTAGATGCAAGAAGCTAGTTGTTGCTTCCAAATTGGATCATGATTCGGCACCTGTAGTGCTCGGTTGGTGACCAACTGAGCTTTTGACCCTATCACAATCCCACCCTTTCAACTCGAATTTCCTTCAATTTGGTCCTTTTGTTTTCTAATCTAAGCCCCTGGACTTCAATACCTTTTAATACCAGTCCTCCCTCTTCATTTTTCTTTCAATTTCCACCCTTGAATTTCTGATGTTGGCCCCAAATTTTTCTGATTCCCCAATTAACCCCCAGTTAAATTTAATTCTTGTGATTTCCCCCCTTTTTGACCTACTATTTACAAATTTTCCCAATTTATCATATGGGTTATTACATAGTAAAAACACTTATACGATTCATCTAAAGGTTATTTGGTCGACTCTTGACCCTCTCCTCCCCATTAACTTAGTCATAGACCTCCAATGTAACCAAAAAATAAAATAAAAATCATATAATAAAATTTTTAAAAAATAAGAATTATCAAAACTGGACTTTTAAAAAATTTTCCTACATTTTTATTTTAAAACTAAAAATAAAAAATTTTAAAAAATTTTTAAGTAAATCAAATAATATTTAAATTTTAAATAAAATAAATACTACAAGGAGATAAATTTGGGTTATCTTGGGTTTATCTTATCTCTTTTTTTAATAGAGCATTAGACAATCATTACTGAAAGAGAGAGAGAGAGAGAGAGAGAGCATTTTTTTTGGAATAAGAATTAAACTGAGAATTATTTAAACAAAATCTAACTCAGGTAAGTATTTTCCCCCTTACTTTTTTATACCAGGTTAAATGTATATTTTTTTAACATTATCCAATTCACATTGAGTGGAATCAACCGACTAAGTGGGTGGTCTTTAGTCCGCAACTCCTAAACAGGGGAAAAACAAGCATAGATTATGGTTTATTATTTATCTACTGAGTTTCTGGTTTGCTGGGCTTTTTCTATTTTAGTTATTTATTTTCAGAACGTAATTTTACTAAGAGTTCCAAATAATTGGTTTAGATGTCCTTGCATGTCCATTTCTTTAAGGTACAAGTGTATCAAAATTATCAAACCAATAACGCCCAAGTTGTACTTAATTCGACTTCATTTCCATCTTATTATAAACTAAATTTGTTAAGGCTCACATTAATTCTATTTTCCATAAATTAGTTTTCAAGCATCACCACGTCCCATCTGTCATGTGAAAAAGGGTTGAATAAAACAAATCATATACCATAGAAGCTTCTATTATTGTTTTTGTGATGAGCAAATGCAGCCAATCAGACCAATTTGTTGGAGAAAAAATTATGAGATAATTCTATTAAATGAAATTAGGATAGTAAATAATGTCAAGTTCTGAGATTGACTCGAAATACTTAACTCTGATTAGGAGGACTTCTCGCATGAACCAGTACAAGTGCTAAAAACTGGTAAATAATTTTTTTGATACCCATTCTATTTAACCTAACCCTTATTTATATTACTAATCAGTAACAAAGATATTGATTAATAATATTGATGGAATTTGCGTGTGAAGTGTCTTTGTAATAAAGTTGAAGCATATCGTATTATTCTTTAAGTTTAAAGGAGAGTGTTAAAGTTAAATAATGTGACAGCTAATCGATTTCAATTAACTTATATCTAATCTTCTACTGTTGTGTTTGTGTTTGTCTAAATACATGTATCTAAATTTTTCCTAATATTACAAATAAAAAATATATATTATGAGTGTTGTAAGAAGATATTAGAGATTGATACATTTCCCAGAATCCCAATGTTGGTTCGTGCTTTTAACAAGACGAAAGTCAGGAACTGAATAGTAAGATTTACGGACGAGAAGCGAAGTGGAAGAAACGATTAAAAAATTACCAGTGGAAAGGCCAGAGAGTGCAATCAAGATCAAAGACGACGAAACAACGCAGCATCCATTATCTGCAGTGCCTTCCGCTCCACCTTATCGTCCCCAACACCTCCCTTCCCACTTTACCCCCCTTCCTTTTTTCTCCCTCTCCCCATTCTCCTCTCTCTCTCTCTCTCTCTCTCTCTCTCTCTCTCTTCCGGTCCGGTTGCTGCGGGCCGTTTGGTTTGCTATGCAAAATAACCGTGCAGAGAAATAAAGAAAGCGTAAAGGGTGTTGGACGGAGGTGTCAAAATGGATCGAGTCCAATGGACCGGCCCAAATAATTTGACAAATATGTTGGGTTAGGCCAGTAAAAAATGAGGTCAAATTTTTGGCTCAATCAGCCAAATCCGAAAACAGACTGGACTGAAACCGGCTAGCCCAAGTCCGTGAGGTTGGGCTGGCCTGTTTGTCCAAA